GGTCGATTAAATAGTATTTATTTATTTTTTTGAAATTGGAATAAAATAGTTATTTGATATTTTATTTCAACGAAACAGAAAATTAAATAGTATTTACTATTTTATTTCACCACTTCACTATTTGGTTTTACATGAAATACTTTTTTTTCCTACGAAAATTTCCTATTACTATCCGTTATCACCTTCATTGCTCTCTCGCGGTGACGTAATTGCAATGAATTACGAAAATTTAGCTAAATGGATGAATTATCGCTGTTCGTCTATGGGGTATTTGCCGTGATTATCACTAAAAACAGGAGTTTATATAGCATTCCACATCTTGTGACGTCACAGGATATTGTTGGATAGAATTTTGGAGTAGATAAGAGGATATTACATGAAAAATATTGTATACATATTTTATATCTTGAAAATTTGTTGTTTCTAATTATTGTTCCTTAGTTCTCATTGTTGATTCTGTTCTAATGTCTTTTCTAGCAAAGAAAAATTCAAGAACATTCGATGAATTATTTCAAACTGTCTGAATTATTGTCCGGATTATTTTAGTATGTTCCTTGATCGAATTGTTTGAATACTATTTCAAATTTGCCATATTTCATCAGTCGACAATCGAAATTATTTTCAAATAATACTCCTTTGAGTCCATTTATTTGCATTCTATTTCATTTGCGGTGTTCAATAACTCCAAAATAGCAATGAGTTATGAATATTTCATTAGTGAAGTGGTCAAACTATTTAAGTCAATTCCATTCTAGCACCAGTTCTCAATGAATATCTCAAATTCTAAAGGAGTTAGCAAAATTTTCCTAAAAATCTTTTTTGTAAAGAAAAGTGAATGCAATCGAAAAAGATCTTACAAAAATTTCGCTATCTTTCTTAAATTCCGAGTTATTCAACAAAAACTCAACTGAGACCTAAGTCGACTTAAACCGAGTATTTTGTCCAGCTCTGATGAAAATCGAAGAGAACGTCCAATGGACTTCGCTAAGTTTACGAATACAATTTTTCCCCGAAAAATGCTCTCTAAAAGCATCAATCACCCTCGATTAACCATGCCAAAATGAGCTACTGAAATTCGAAGGCCAAAGGTGGCCAAAAATCTTCCGCATTGAGTTACCCCTCCGTAGATTATTGAAAGGACTATGTAAAATCAATGCAGGGATATCCGCCAACAGAAAGGAAAAAGTAGCATGAAGACATTAAACTGAGTTTGTTTGGTATCCTCTCTCGCGGCGGGTGTGCCCCATTGGATCTGCAATCTCGGGTAAAAGTAACGCCGAGTTAACCCACACCGTCGGGGGGCACCTTCCGTTTCGCGTCTTCTGGTACCATCAACAGGCCCCAGGAACCTCACGGAATAATTTGGGTTCATTGCTTTCAGTCCGTATGTTACAGTTCATCCTCTCATTTTTTTTTCAGAGTTTCAACGGTCTAGGGTCCCTCACTAAATTGCGCTGTTTTGACTGATTTCACGGAGCGACACGCACAGCTCGGGACTTCATGAAAACGCACAAACAGAGACGATAATAAACATTGATGGGGTGGCATCAGTAGGCGAAAATCTCAGGTATGTTTTTTTCTTTTTTTTTTTTCAACGGAAATCGCTCTAGGCGATTCCTTTGTGTTTTCGCACTTTTTCACTTTTGGACTTTCGGAAGCTTTCCGGAAAGTGAGCGGAGTGAGGTGTCTTCATTCGCTTTGGAACGAATTACGTGAATTGGATTTACGGACCGGGGTGACACTTCGAAGAGCTTCATTGAAGCAGTGGTGCTGGAGTTTGTAAATATTTAGAGTGATTTTTTATATTGAAGCAGACATGCTGGCAGATGTAGAATAATAAATTTTTAATTGTTCTTGAGGGTCTGGTCACTTAGGAAATCATTGGTCCACACGATTAGAAATCAAGCAAGAAATCACCAGAAATCTAATGACTTCTGGAAATCATCAGTAATCAGTGGAAATCATAAAGAAATCAGATGATTTCAGAAATAATTAGAAATCATCGATGAAAGTGAAACTCAAATTTTTTTATTCGAGCTCACTCGCACGATCCCGTTTGACCCTTCATGATCTTCTTATGCAGATGTCATTTGATTCTTAGAGTTTCACGCCCGTATGATGATGGTGATGCGTGTTAAGTTGAAAACAACAAGAACAACTTTCACAACTTTTTACGAATTCATGTTGATTCAACAATTTTGAATCATCAAATTTGTTAATTAAATTGTGTGAAAAAATTTGAAAAAAAAAATCATGACTATTCAGCGTCATTAAAATTACATTTTGCACAGAATTATTATTTTTTTAAACATTCGTTGTTTATGAATAAATAATTGGAATTGTTCAAACTTTTGGTAACCTTTTTTAAGTGCATGAAATCGATTTTTGGTAAAATTCTCAATATGAATAAATTTGTTATGATTCCGAACAAATGATTTTTTTGGAACATCGACTGTTTATAAATTCTTTATAAAAAATACTCGCAATTTTCAAAAATTGAAAGTTTTCAATTATTTCATCAATCCTTCTCCAAAAATAAACTTTCGAATTTTGTTTCCAGACTTTTAATAGAATCATTGTGAAATTTCCGCAAATTTAGGGTCAAATGGAACTCAAATGAAACCTCTGGTGTTCTGCTTCAAAAATAGAAAAGGATTTCGCAGGATAAAAAATAGCCAAAGTACCTTTTACAGTTTGGTACGCACATCACACTATAGATTCATCCATTTTCAATCATCAAATTTGCCATTTAAATTGCGTGAGAAAAATTTGAAAAAAATCATAAATATTCAGCATCATTGAAATTACATTTTGCACAGAATTATGATTTTTTAAACATTTGTTGTTTATAAATACATAATTGAAATGGTTGAAAATTTCGATAACCTTATTTTTTTAGTCATATGAAATCGATTTTGGGTAAATTCTGAATATGAATAAATTTGTTATGATTCCGCACAAATGATTTTTATGGTAGAGAATTGATTGTTTATAAATTATTTATAGAAAATGCCTGTATTCTTCAACAATTTAAATTTTTTAATTATTTCATTAATCTTTCTAAAAGTAAACTTTATAATTTTTTTTCAGATTTTTCAAATGGTTTCTAACGGTTTAATATCGCGATTCAAATTCCGACCGGCAAAGTTTAAATACACGGAGAGAAATACACAATAAAAATTACGTATCTTTTCCGTAATTCCGGAGCGAAATGTGGTTGTAGGAAATTTTACGGAACTGTCACGGAATTTTTCCAGAGCGTTCCGTAATTTTTATCTGAATCACCTGTGAAAAATTACGATACAGTCATTTAAATTTTCTGAGTCGATTCCGTAATCGGTGAGCGAACTTCGAGTTCCGTAATTTTTATCTGAATCACCTGTGAAAAATTACGATACAGTCATTTAAATTTTCTGAGTCGATTCCGTAATCGGTGAGCGAACTTCGAGTTCCGTAATTTTTATCTGAATCACCTGTGAAAAATTACGATACAGTCATTTAAATTTTCTGAGTCGATTCCGTAATCGGTGAGCGAACTTCGAGTTCCGTAATTTTTACTGAGCATTTCTCTCCGTGTAAGAAAATCATTGTAAAATGTCCGCAAATTTAGGGTTAAATGGAACTCAAATGACACCTCTGATGTTCTGCTTCAAAAATAGAAAAGGATTTCACTGGATAAAAAATAGCCAAAGTACCTTTTACAGTTTGGCACAGATCACACTATAAATTCATCCATTTTCAATCATCAAATTTTCCATTTAAACTGCGTGAGAAAAATTTGAAAAAAATTATAAATATTCAGCGTCATTGAAATTACATTTTGCACAGAATTATTATTTTTTAAACATTCGTTGTTTATAAATACATAATTGAAATGGTTGAAAATTTCGGGAACCTTATTTTCTTAGGCATATGAAATCGATTTTTAGTAAGTTCTGAATATAAATAAATTTGTTACGGTTCCGAACAAATGATTATTATGTTGGAAAATTGATTGGTTGTAAATTATTTACAAAAAACGCCTCTAATCTTCAACAATTGCAATTTTTTAATTATTTCATCAATCTTTCCAAAAGGAAACTTTATCATTTTTTTTTTCAGATTTTTAAAATGGTTTCTAACGGTTTAATATCGAGATTCAAATTCAGACCTGCAAAGATTGAATAATAAAATCATCGTAAAATGTTCAGAAATTTAGGGTCAAATGGGGCTCAAATGAAACCTCTGATATTCTACTTCAAAAGTAATTTATAGAAAAATAGCCAAAGGACTTGGATACCCTTAACCGTTTAGTACGTCTCAAGAATCTTCTGAATTTCAAAAAACCTGCTATGCAGCACCATTCAAATAATCACCCGTAAAGAAATCATCGTCCTCATCTCCCCGAAAATTCAGGTGTCTTCCACCACCTGAGCCCCTGAAATTCCCAAAAAGCAAGAGGTAAAATGATCCTTAACGAGTGCGCAAAAAGAATGGTGTTGCAGGTAAGCCCATAAACCCCTGCGAAACGGCAAAAACCGATGAAGTCAGTAGAAAAACTGAGTGCAACCGAAAAACCCAATGGGCGTGTCGTCAGCAAAGTAGTTACAGTCCCCGAAGTCTCCCCCCATTGGTCAGTGCCTTGCGCAGGTAGAGGCGCAGTATGGCTCTACCCCCACCACCTGGCGCACATTTCGAATGAGAAGAAGGTATCTCAAGTGTTTGACCTGCAGCATCCTGATGGTTGAATTTCGCTGGAAGGCGGAGCTTCAAGGTTGGTTAGGTATCACAGACGAGGAGTGAGGTACTTCAGTCGGGATCAGCGAGTCAGAACATCATCATCCGGAGTTCAGCCTGGTCCAGAGCAAATTCAGTTACTCGTGATCACTTCCGAGGGTTGTGATTTTTTCAATCGTTACCAGTGATTTCAGTGTTTTTTTTTAAGTTTATCCAGTGATTTAAAGGATTATTTTCGCGAGGTGGAAGGTGTGAAGTGATTCGTTGCAATTCTTGGACTACATGACATGACGATCACCACTAACTTTCCAATGATGCGACCTTATGCCGGATATCCCTTCCAGGGTGAGTGACTTATTTTTTTCACGATGTTTTACTTTGGTTTAGGAATTTTTTGGGGTCTTTTCGAGGTCTTTGCTTCCGAATGGAAGATTTTTAATTGTTCAAATTTAAGTTTTGGATTTTTGTGTTGTATCGATCCAGTCTGATGCAACAAGTCAAAACTGCAATTTTTCGTTTCTCGTTCGTAAAGCTTCTGTTCAATTGTTCGGTAATGAATGAATGGAATTGAATCTTTTTTTAAAATGTGAGTATTGTTGAGCCCTATCGATAGCCACTAATTAAAATTGCATTAATTGATTAGTTTTTTAATTTTGGAATTTTTTCGAAAATCCGTCGTCTCGCGAAAATTAAAAAAAAATGTTCTGAATTGATTGAATGATGGCTTTAAAAATATGTTTGAATGTCCTTTTGACCGAGTTCGAAGATGAAGGCGATGACGATAATCGTTATTTTGATTTATTTGAAAATTTGCGAAAATTTTGTATTTTTGAAAATCAGAATTCCGGGGATATCGTTGAATATCATGCTTCAAATGAATCCAATCATAGCTTAAAATGTTTGTTTTAACGCTGTTAAGTCGAACTTAAAGGATGAATACGATAGCTACATTGGTTAATTTCATTTTTATGATGATTGCTAAAAAATTTGATGTTCTTGATGATTGTTTCTTTAACTGTTATATTTCAAATTCATTCAAGGATGTATAAATAAAATTGTTCTATTGACATTTTATGGAAGGGCTGCGAGGAGAGATAGGACTGTAAAAAAGACAATCGGTTGTATAGAAGAAAGGGATAATAAGAATAATGATGATGATAACATTGAACTAAGTTGAAAATCTGGCAAAATTACTCCAAAACAAATCTTCTTCAATTGAATAAAATGAAATAAATAATTAATTACACTGATAGAATGATTCATTTATTCCAAACGAGATTCGTTAACTATTAACGAATAGTAGAGTTGAATATGACCAAATGAATATTCGTTAATAGTTAACGAATGGTTCACTTGAATGGCGAAAGTCAAGTGAAACAAGGCTCCTCGAATGTACATTCCTTAACTATTAACGAAGGAACATTTGGTGGGATCGAATAGACCCTAACCTCCAACCAAAATCCATTCGTTAACAATAACTAATCCGTTCGATCAGTGTATACACGACAAAAGAAATTGATGTGCAAAACAACCATTAGCATACTTCATATTGCTAATTTATTAGCAAAAATAACTACACTATATGCGATAGAAGAATTTCCCACTTGTTTTTAATTTTTTACTGCACGGAAAAAAAAATTGGATGAAAATTGCCCAGAAATTTGTGGCAAATTTTACTGTGCGAAAAATTAACGACGTTTTACGGGCAGTGTGATGAATGACTTGTTTGGTAATTTTCCTTCAATTTTTTTCTCCGTGTGCAGAAAAATTGGTAGGGTAAACAGGCCAATACCTGGACGGTTAAGAAAACGTTGTACTTCATTAAAGGATTTAAAATCGATGAGGTAGCTAAATGAATAAAAGATGAGTTCTAGACCTGAAAGAATATATGAATCAGAAAAAAACGATAAATTGAAGTGGAAAAAATGAAGAGAAGGATAATTGAATGAGGGAAAAGTGGAATATCGTCCACATCCCACGTACGAAATGCCAGTGTTGGAGAAACGGGCCAAGCCTGGCACAAGCCTGGGCTTGCCAAGCCTGGGCGCCCAGGCTTGGACCGAGGTTCGGCCATCCCTGGGGACCAGGGCTTGAGTCTCGGGAGAAGGGCAGGTAACCGAGCCTTGGTTGACAGATCTGGCCCAGCCTTGGCCGGACACTGGCATGCCGGAGCTCGATAACCAAGCCTCAGCCAGCGGTGGCCCGGAGCTTGGTCATTGGGCTCCAGCCGTTGGTGTAACTGTAAGGGTTAAGTCGTAAGGGTGAGATGATGAGAATGGAATCATAGGGGTGGAATCATAAGGGTAAAATCTGAAGAGTAAAATTGTAAGGGTCAAATCGCAATAATGGAAAGGGGCGAAAAAATCATAAGACTGACATTCTGAGGGTTGAATGGTAAGGGTGGAAACTTGAGGGTAAAATATTAAGGGTGTAATCGTAAAAAAATGGTGACATTGTAGGTGTTGAAGTCACATGTTACTCGCTAATTATTACGAAAAGAAGAAGAATCGTCATTCAACAGTAATCCTAATTGTTACAATTATTATTGTAATTAATAATAATAATAATTATTATTCATTATTGAATTAATTTACCGATTAAACTGTAGTTGAATCACTTAATATTTCTATCAACTGAATAATAAAACATTCAAGTCGAAAAAAACCGAGATGGAATTAATATGGAAGATTTGAAGTAGAGGTTTTACGAATTGCGCGGTAGACTAGTGGTTAGGGCGTCGGATTAGTAGTCGTGAGGTCGTGGGTTCGAGCCCACGTTAGGGGGTAATATTTTAAGTTAACAAAATCGGTTTTTCAGCGATGATTGCGTTAGGGTTTGGTAGGTAGGGCACAATGAATACTAAAAATCATCCTAAAAAGTGTTAATTATTTTGTTTTTGTTATTATTGATAATTGCCATGAATAGTTTGGCAGCCAGTGCGGCACCAGTCACATGCCGGTATTGATTTTTTTTCCTCGTTGAACCTATTACGAATGTTGAGGAGTAATATTAAATTACTTGTATTTCAATCACCCATATTGTCATATTCATGTAATTAAGTAATGTTTAATTGAGCCTGGCCAACGACTGGCAACCAACGCTGGGCCGAGATGGGCGCCCAGACCTGGCCCGATGTTATCATTCCAGGTTTCAACCAAGTCTGGCGCGGTCCCGGTTGAGGAACGGGTCCCGAAGTTCGGCAGGCCGGCCACCGGGCTTGGGCCAAGCTCGGCCCATTCGTTTTTTCGTACGTGGGATTCCCAGTAACTGGACGCTAGGGCCAGTAGATGGACGGTGGATGGCCAATACATGGACGGCCTGGAGGAACATAGAATGTTCATCCAGTTTATACAAACATGTGAATTTTGTTTTATTGAGTGTGAAGAAATACAAGGCCAAATAGATTCTTAATCTTCGGGATGCGATTTTCCTCCTGAAAATATTGTGCTATTTCCCACACCTGACTCTTTCGGAACAGAACTTTTTTTTCTCCACGATACTTTGTCACTGATGCTTAGTAAATTGGAGCGCCACGCAACCCAGCACTGTACCTCCCGAATATTTTATTGTTTTCTTGCTGTAATGTTGATATTTCGAAAAAACATTTCATCACGCGATTATACATTAGTGTTATTATTGATAATGATAATAAACCGTACAGTTTTCATTCTATTATTTTTAGAATATTCAATAAAAGGTGAAATCGTCCAGGTACTGGCCCGAGTCCAGCTATTGGCCTGTTCACCCTATTGGATGGGGATTTCTTCGGATAGGGGACAATCGCTTAATTAATTTTCACTCCAAAAATTGTATTCTCGATCCTGAATATTTGGGGACATTGTTCGCTAGAGGGGGCGGAAAGGATTTCTCAATCTACCTCACTGGAGGGACCGGAAAATTTATATTAACGAGACAGACCATAAATTTATGGGCTGTACATCATCGGGCAGTCCTTCACTACCTGAAATTTTCCGGGCGGAATGGTTATTTTGAGTCTTCACATTTCGCCACATGTGACGTTCCATTCGAAAATGAATATAACATTGAATTATCTACAACAAAAATACAGCAATCCAGAAAAGTACTTCATTCTTCAAATGTTTCCGTTATTTTTTCTCCTCTTATTCCAATATTTTTTCTAATACTCATAAATGACAGCTCCCAAAAGTCGCAAAACTAGAAGTGAGTCTCAAATAGAGTCGTCAAATTTTTTTTAAGGGTCATCCCCAAAAAAAGTACATTTTAACGCAAATACAGCGTTAAATCACCACCTCTAGAGTTCAATTGTCCCTTGAAAAGCGTAAAATGTCCTCTGGGTCCTTCGGTAACTGAGGTAAAGTTATTCTTTGAAATATTCGGGGATACCTGAGGCCAGGCGTGCGGCCAGAATAACGGATTCACTTTTACCAGGGGGTCCATATTTTATTGCACCTCATAATTCAATATTTTTCGTCGAGCCCCCCCCCCCCCCCCCCCCCCCNCCCCCCCCCTCCGCCTATTATGCGTGCAGAGGTTCCCTCGATTTCCCAGAATTTTCGAAAAATTTTATTGCCATTTTTATTCCCTCACACATATTTTTTGATGTTGGTCACATTTAATTGACATTTAAAAACTGTAATGAAAATTGGAGTGAAATTAATAGCCCGTGAAGAAGTTGAGAAGTGAAATTGGCTTGAGGGTATAATCATAATTGGCCGGTCGTTAAGCCGTCGGATAACCGTCGACTTTATCAAATCTCAGTCATAACTGTTTCAACTTTATTCGGGATCATAAAACGCCAGACCGAATCGAATCAATGACATTGTATTTTTCTATTCATTCTTGTTGTATTATTTTTCCAGATCTTTCATCAATCCCAGGTCAAGGACGTGTCAATCAATTGGGAGGGATCTTCATCAATGGCCGTCCATTGCCGAATAGTGTTCGACATCAGATCATCATGATGTCTCATCAGAATATTCGACCTTGTGAAATTTCCAGGTGAGATTTTTCCCGTTAAAATGTAAGCATTCCAACAATGAAATTGGCCGCGGCAATAATGATTTATTAATAATTTTATTATTGCACACATAATGATAATACATGAGGGTAATGAAACATTTTCACTGTTCACACTCTTTGCTGCATCAGAGACTCAAACTCAAGTGACGTATGGGTGCCTACTGCCACATCTTTTACTAGCGTTGATGCCCTTCCGTTATGCTTTTTTCCATTTCTTCCATTCATTTCGTTCTTTTCCAAAGATTAATTATTCATCATTATTCTTATTGTGTTGAGATTGATGGAACCAATGCATGTTAGTTCTTCACCTGTTCAATTTCAATATTTCATTAAGTGATTTTTCGTTTTTTTTTCTATGAAATTCGAAGATTTTGTAGAATTGTCAGGAAAATTTCGAAGAATTTCTCGATTTTTTATCAATTATTGTAGTCAATACTTTGAGAGAGGTTCATTGCTTTCTTGAATTTCTATTTTGAATTCAAGAAAATGTTTTGAAATCCGCGCCCTTTTCCCTACCAATTGCGGTCATGAAAATGGATCTTCATAGTTCCCATTTGAGTTCCGAATCCGACTTTTGGAGTATCGATTTTCATTCGAGTGCTTATTCGACATTTTGGTGCCTCTTTTATTATATAAAATTCCTAATATTCGTTCCTTGTTCTTTATTATTTTTCCGTTGCGTGCCCGGTTTCAATCATGTTTCATCCCCTCCATGCGTCCGAGCGTCGCGACATGCGAATCGACTTTTCATACAATCGATTCTCATTCGAGTTCTCATTCGCGTGTTCATTCGAGATTTTTTCGCCTCTCTATTATTCGAGTTCTCATTCGAGTGTTCATTCGAGATTTTTTCGCCTCTCTATTATTATATAGGATTATATAGGATATACACGGAGAGAAAAATCTTTCAAAAATTAGTGTATCTTCTCACGAACGCATGAGACGTGCCGAAGGGGACGCCTGAAAGTCGAGGGAGACACTGAAATTGTACATTTCGACACTAGGCCGCGAAGAACTTTTCTGGCGAATATGAGGTTACAGGACGAGCCGAAGGTGAGTTTAATTGGTAATCATGTGAGGTAGAAAAGTTCCCACGGCCGCGTGTCGAACAATATTTTTTTGTCGTTAGGCCCGAGAAAGTGGTATTCCGTACTGGAAAATTCATATGTTGCATCCTAATTTTTGTGAGTGATGCACTAATTTTTCATGCGTTTTCCGTAGTTTCTCATGTGACTCTTCCGAAAAACTGAGTGACCAGCATTGTTTTTTCTCATTGATGAAATACACTAATTTTTAAGGAAGGTTCTTTTTCCTTTTCAATGTATTTTTCTCTCCGTGTACACTCTAGTCATCTGGAACATTCCAATCGCTCTACAATTCTATTCCTTCTGCTCCAGAATATACGATTTTATTGTTCTCTTCATTTCTCGAGAATTCAACAAAATGTTTCCCGTGAAATTCAATCGATAATGGGAGATTCTGCATTACCGGCGGGGTTCCTTGAAGATTGTAGATTGTGATGAACCGGAAACTGAAGAAAGAATGGCCAGAGGAAGATTTTATTGAGACGAATCTACACTGTTAGAAAATTACTCTTGAAATTTCAAATGAAAAAAGTTGAAATTTTTGAGGAAATTCTAGAAAATTTTTTTTTGTCTTTCATGTAACAAAGTTACATGAAATTTCTGTATATTTTTTTTTATTCGTTTATTTAAGCTCGCTGTATAACAACTCAGGTCTTAAGCGACTACTACTATATGCGACTATATAAATTTGAAATCAGTGTGAAAAAAAATATACAGAAATATATAATGTTGTAAGGTAATGTTTTTCAAGTGCCAGGGAACAATCCTGTTCTTTTGAAGAATTGAATTGTTCTGTTACATCCTTCTTGATTCTGTATATTTCTTCATTGCGAACTCAGTTAATTTCTTGAATATTCAAGTAAATCTCGATTCTCAGATCCATTCGTCACTGAAAAACCTTGAAAATTTTGAAAATTCAAGTAACAATTTTCTAAATTCTCAATCTATTGAAAATTGAATTGTATGTGATGTTCAATTTTCACGATGAATTTGGAAATTCAAGCTTTCATTACACTAGCGAAGAAACTAGCGAAAGATTTGAATTAGACGAATCTAGAAGTATACTAGTGATACCGCGAGACATTTCATGAGACATCGCGAGGCAAAACTTTGGAGAAATGATTTCGTTCTCAATGAACATGTAAATCTTTGCACTCGTCTCAGTCTCAAAATACGCAATATCGACGCCTCTCGTGATGACTCCGAGTCAATTTATTTCATCTCGGTTTCCAGTTTTTCATGTTTTTATATGTAGAAAACCGAGACGAGACAATCCGAGACAAAAACCGAGATTTTATATTGAAAAACACGAAAAACTTGAGACCAGGATGAGATAAATTGACTCTGAGTCATCACGAGAGGAGTCGATACTGCGTATTTCGAGACTGAGACGAGAGCAATGATTTCCGTATTTATTGAGAACGAGATCATCCCTCCAAAGTTTTGCCTCATAAAGTGTCTCGCGGCATCACTAAAGTAGGAAAATATATTTTAAAATCATGTGCAAACTCTTTCCCACAATCAATTAATTAATTCCCAATTACCGATGATTTACAGAAAGCTTCGAGTGTCTCACGGCTGCGTATCAAAAATTCTGAATCGTTATCAAGAAACTGGGAGCATTCGTCCCGGTGTAATCGGTGGTAGCAAGCCACGTACAGCAACACCGGAGATAGCAAGTCGTATCGAAGAATATAAACGTGAAAATCCTAGGATATTTCACTGGGATGTGCGGGACAGGCTGATCAAAGAAGGTATGTGCGACCGTACGACATTGCCAAGTGCATCGGTTATATCGAGACTGATTAGGGGAAAGGACTGCGAGGACGATGCTACTGCAAAACTTGCCGACGGTGAGTGGCATATTAGTTTCAAGTAGAGATGCAAAATGACCGCCATTCATCAGATCGCGTTATATTAGCAAAAAATGATGTGACGGTCATGTGACACACAAACGCGAAAACGCGAAAAAAATCCGAACAAGAAAACGCGTGACACAATTTGGTCATCTCTTTTTTATTATAAAAGACAGAAGACGGAAAATGCGCAAAAATTCCGAAAAAATGAACGCGTGACGTATTTTAACATTTCCTTCTTATTATAGAATAACAAAAATGTTCGCGTAATCATGAGTTGTGTCCTGATACTTTAACAGTTAATTTTTGCGAAAACGCGAATAAATTCCGAACAAGAAAACGCGTGACACAATTTGGTCATCTCTTTTTTATTATAAAAGACAGAAGACGGAAAATGCGCAAAAATTCCGAAAATTCCGAAAACATGAACGCGTGACGTATTTTAACATTTCCTTCTTATGATAGAATAATGAATATGTCCGCATTATCATGAGTTGTATCCTAGTGTTTTGACAATTCATTATTGAGAAAACGCGAAAAAATCCGAAAAAAATGAACGCGTGACACATTGTGGCCCTCTTCTTTTTACTATAGAGACAGAAGATAGAAAACGCGAAAAAAATCGGCAAAAATAAACGCGTGACACATTGTAACCATCTCCTTTGTATTATAGATTATAGAAATGTTAGCGAATTGAACGTTTGCGGGCGAAATTGTTAGGTTTCGATGAGAATTCCGGGGGGAGGGGGAGGGATGTTCAACGGTAGCTCTTGATCGAGTCTGTAATTTTCTTCGCCGCCTCACCGTGGGGAGCCCTATGAGCATCACACACGGCGTCATGATTAATACTGGGTTCTGCATCAATTTTTCTTCTCCTCATGTAAAAAAATGGATCGTTCTAGAAAAGTGATGTTTTGTATCATCCATTTTTTGCTATTTACGAAATACAAGTTGGTGGGATACGATGGGTCAGTGTTTGTGTGAAAAATTTTCCACCCAGAGTCGATATATTTTCTCTCGTAAATTTTTCGTTACCCCCGTTGTGAGTGACTAGTCGGCGTGAGATCAAAGAGACTCGTGGGTCACTGTAAGTTGATAGGCAGCCAACGGGGGTCGATTGTGTGGCGGTGGATTTTTGTTTTTTTTTTCTTCCTCAGTCGGACGATATATTGTTTCACTCTGACACCTTGTGGTCATTCTATATACGCGAGAATGAATGAATAGAGGTGGGAAAAAAAGAAAAGAAAGGATCTGAAGTTATTTTGACGAATCCAAAGCTACCCCCTGTCCAAAAAAATTAAATTAGACGATGAAAAGAAAAATTAAACCCAAAGTTCATTAGTAAAATCAGAATTCATTGAAGGGCTTCAGCATATTTTATGAAAATTGAATCCTCCCCAAATAAAAGACACGGAAAAATACGGCACCGGGAATAGTCGCGTGTCGAATGAGCATTTAGTAACGGAGAGGAGCGTCCCGACGTCGAGGCGTCGTCGCCCGATTAGGCGCGCATTCTATCGTAACGTCTTCGCATGAAAAAACTCTCTCATCGCGACTGAGATGCCACCTCCTAATTACCCAATGCCGTTTACAAAATTGCGCTGAAAAAATGATCTATTTTGCGCGGAAGGATAAAAACTGGTTTTTGTTGATCACCTGTTCGCGCTTTCTGTGGCAAAACGAACCGTCGAAGAGCCTCCGGAGCGAAAACAAGTCGATGGGAGTCAGATTGAAATGAGCAAAAGAACATTGGGAGAAGAATTCAGCATTGACGCGGTAGAACGGTTCAAACGGTTCGGATAGCAAACTTTTGGTGATAATCTTTTTTGTGGAGCAAATTGAGAGCTACAAAACTGATGAATACGAAAATTTCGCCATCTCCCTTAGATTCGGAGATATTCTTCAGAAACTCAGCTAACCTGTATGAAACCGTATCGGTGTGATGGCCACCAATCACAGCGCGCCTCGCGATTGGTGAGAAATGGTCACGTGGCTATTCCCTCACTCCTGATGCGTCAGGACCGTTGTATTGCGTTGTGATACGTAATAGAAGTTTTGATAGATAGACAACAAATAATCAGAGATAAAAAAAGAAAAAATGTCAGTGATGAAGAGTCAGTGCCTAAAAAAAGAAAAACGAATGAAAGTTCATTAAAAAGTGTATGTGGAAGTCCGGGTAAATACATGAAACAAAGAGAGATACCTTCAAATTGTGAAATGAATCCAGATCATTTTGCAGCAAAAAAGAGATAAAATTGATGAAAAACGAACGAAAATGGTCTTCAAATATTGAGAATTATCCAGTGTCTCCATTTGTTGAAAATCGAAGTCCTGTTTATGATTTGGAGATTGACACCAACGAGATGTCTTATTTCAAATTGCTTCTTTTCTTTCTTAAATTTGTTTCTTCCTATCTACCTAGAAATTTATTATTCCTTTAAAAAAAAATTTATATTTTGGACTCTTGTATTCAAACATGCGCTTAGCGCTACGACACTGTTTGCGCGCACGCTTCTCAGCCCCTTCCACGTCCGTCGTCCGGCCCCCGTAGGTAGTGGGGATAGGATTGCGAGTCAGAAGATTAGCGATGTTCAGGAGAAAAGTAGGACATTCGAAAAATGCAGCCAAATTCATGAATTTTTTTCACATATTGTTTAATCGATTTCGGCGCCCCTTGCAAAATTTTAGAAACCCCAGGATCAGGACAGCAACAAAAGTGAATTCTAAAGTTGCTACGTATACATGAGGTTAAAGGGACCATCGATAACGGGTACATTTTCCCTACATTATCGACCAGTCGGCAAAAAATATTTAAATTATCGATCACCCATTTAACCTCATATGCAAACAGCAACTTTAAAATTCATTTTTGTTGTTGTCCTGAAGCTGGGGTTTCTGAAATTTTGCAAGGGGTGCCTAAATGGATTAAATAGTATGTGAAAAAAGTTCCATTAAATTGGCTGCATTTTTCGAATATTCTACTTCTCGCTTAAGCATCGTTGAAAACCACATGAAAATTTCGAAAAAACAAACTCACCTAATTAGCAATGCTCACCGATTCCTCCACTCCTTCCAGGAAAAACATCGGAATCAGACGCCGAGAGTGAGCCAGGGGTCGTGCTAAAACGTAAGCAACGAAGAAGTCGCACGACATTTACCGCCCAGCAACTGGACGAACTGGAAAGGGCGTTCGAGAGAACCCACTATCCCGACATTTACACACGCGAAGAGTTAGCCCAGAGGACGAAATTGACTGAGAACAGAATCCAAGTGTGGTTCAGCAATCGTCGGGCACGACTGAGGAAGCAGAGTTCCTCGGCGTCTTCATCGGGCTACTACGGCTCAGTGCCTTATCCATCAGCAACCGCAGCCACTTCTTACGTTCTCCACCCATCGGCCAGTGGACACTCGCACGCAGCGACCGCTGCAGCTGCCGCTGCGAGTCTACCAGCACCTAGTCACTCGATGCATCTGCAATCTCTGGGGCAGACCATTTCGGAGACTGCCTTCACCTCTGGCCAAGGTTTGTATCGTTGTTTAAGATGTTTCGAAATTTCGAACACTTTCATTACATGCACGGAGAAAAAAGAGCAAAATTACCGAACAAGTCAAGTAATCGCGGAGCGAGCTCAATTTTTAGTATTTTTCCGCACTAATTTTCACTTTTCCTCGTCCGGGGATTGGTATTGGCCCTTCCCCAAACTCGCAAAAGTGAAAATCACTACGGGAAAATATCGTTCACGACTAGTACCGTGGGGTTTTTTTACTCGCATGGTTGGCCAGTCCTCGCCTTCGACCCGGACGACAACTCCACGCGAGTAAAAAACCCCGTGTAACTCGCCCTGAAATATACTATTTTGTCCCTATCGGGAAACAAGTGCGACACGAATAGTCAATTTTTCTCCCCTGGCCCGGGAAAATTGACTGAACGTGATGGAAATTTGTGCCGAAACTGTAAAATTTACCCCGGAGTCTACCAAAAATTATCCCAGTGAACGTGAATCATTGCTCCATATCGCGTACAATTTTCAGAGCTGGGCACTAATCCATGAAAATCAAATAGAAATACTATTAAAAATGGTTCAGTACGGTGAAATGCTATTTGAAATATATATTTCAAGTTGGCTATTTCGGTCGATCAATATTTATGTCTTTTTGAAATTGAAATAAAACAGTTATTTGATATTTCTTTTCAACGATAGAGAAAATAAAATAGTATTTATCACAATCAAAGACATTTTACGACCGATATATTCAACATCTATATTATCCCCTGGGCTATTCTACTCGGTCAACCTTAGATGTTATTAAGGCATAAATTACATGGAAAATGGGATGCTATATGCTATCCATCGACTTTCCGGACCTCTATACGAGGGTAATAATTGAATAATGCACAAATCAAACAGACGATGCGGGATCATACCCCACTTGTGTGCGAGCCCGTGTGCCTCCGAATTTTTTAATTTGTGCATTGATAATTATTCAATTATTACCCTCGTATAGAGGTCCGAAAAGTCGATGGATAGCATATAGCATCCCACTTTCCATGTAATTTATGCCTTAAAAACATCTAAGGTTGACCGAGTAGAATAGCCCAGGGGATAATATAGAAATAGTATTTACTATTTTATTTCACTATTTGGCTGTTCGGTTTTACATGAAATAGTTTTTTTCTTACGAATAAATACGAATAAATGTCCTTTTCCTCTCCCTGATCATGTTCAGTGATCTCTCGTGATGACGTAATTGCAATAAATTTCGAAGAATTGGCTGAATCGACGGATTTATCGCCGTTCCTCCATGGGTTATTTGCCGTGACTATCAGTAAAGACGGGACTATAGCATTCCACGTCTTGTGACATCACCCGAGATTGTTGCATAGAATTTTGGAGTAGGTAGGAGGACATCACATGAAAAATTCATATTTCTCATATGATAATCATTTCGTTCGTCGCGTATTTTATATCTTGAAAAATTATTGTTTCTGATTATTGTTTCTCACTTTTTATCGTTGTTTCTGTTCTAATTTCTTCTCCAGAAAAGAAAAACGTTCAAGCAATGAAAACCAACTCAAGAAAATGCGATCAATTATTTCAAACTGTCTGAATTATTCTGGATTATTTCAATACGATCTTTGATCGAATTATTTAAATACTATTTCAAATTTTCCATATTTCATCAGCTGACAATAGAAATTATTTTCAAATAGTATTTCTTTGAGTCCAACTCTTTAAATACCATGTTATTTGCGATGTTCAATACTTCCAAAATAGCAATTAGTCATAAATATTTGAAATAATTTCTCAAACAGTATTTTGTCCAGCTCTGAACGAATCGTAAAATATCCTCCATAGACTAGTATTTTTTCATTGAATTATATTTCGCTCCACGATTACCTTTCGTATAGTAAAATTTACCGCAATTTTCTAGGTAATTTCAATCCATCTTTTCTCTCCGTGTAGCTGGGTCAATATTCATATCAATAATTTCTCCATCAGATCTCTACGGTTCGTCCCATCACACCGCCATACCCCACCAGCTAGCAGCGGCAATGGCCGAGTCAAATCGTCTCCCCTCAGCAATTCCCCCAAGTGTCCCCTACGAATCCAAATTCGAGCCCAAATTCGAGCCCAAGTACGAAACTAAATACGAAATCCCCGCCTCCTACCCGCCCACAACCCTCTTTCCCCCAGTCACAACTGTTCCGATAAGCCACCACGTGACTCACCATCAAGTATCACCACCAGTTACCGTGCCCTCAACGACTTATCAACAGCCTGGCCACCATCAACTCCCCCCAACCCCAAATTCACTGGTCACGATGATGGGGCCAAACTCTGGTAGCTCTAATCCACCTACTGATCAGTTGACTCCCAGTGAATTGTCCATCGGCTCTGTATCACCGATTCATCATCCTGGTCAGCATATTCATGCCCAGGGACAACAGCAGGGTGTGCAGGGTAACCAGGATAACGAATCAACGCCATCTTGGAACTTGCCAATTCCAAGTGGATCTAGGGTGGGATTGCCACCGACACCACCCACCAGTCTTCCACAAACGCAAACCCATGCATCTGGTAATCATCATCAGGGCTTTGGACACTATACCACTAGTGGGTTTCAACAGTCGGCTAGGCCGACCCCTACGCATCAACCGTTCTACGGCTGGTACTGAAGAATATTGTCAGGTTGATGTGGAACAATGAAACGGCAGGATTGACGATTTGCGATCGCAACATAGATGTGGGAGCCATCAAGTGGTCTCTAAACTAACTACTCTTGGGGGCCAACCAATGAGATCACAGAGAGCCCAGTGATCTCATTGATTGATGCCTACCATTGGTTCACTTCCAGTGATTTCATTGGTTGGCCCCCAAGAGTAGTTAGTTTAGAGACCGCTTGATGGCTTCCACGTCTGTGTTGCGATCACGAATGGCCAGAATAGAGTTGGGTAAGAGCCTAAATGTCCACATTTAGTTGAGTACACGCATTTTCTTCACAAGAGGGCAGTTCACCGCTTTGAAGTCCACACGCAGCAATGTGCATGGCAACTTTATCCACCTCCAGTTATTCACATGAAAGATTGGCACTTCACTGGAAGTACATATGCTTGATTGCCACACTCCTTAAGGTATTTCCTCAGTGAGTTATACTTGGTGAAAATTTCGTAATGAACTGAAGACCTAAAATTTGGATCATATGTTGTTGAGCACATGTGAAAACGATTCCCAAAATTTCAAGCATTTTTTCCACGTGAATTTTTGAGATATGCATGGACAACAGGACGAAAAACTTAAAAATGACAAAAATTGAATGTTTGACGATGGATATCTCAAAAATTCACGTGGAAAAAATACTTGAAAATTTGGGAGTCGTTTTTACTTGTCCTCAACAACATATGATTCAAATTTTAGGTCTTCAGTTCATTGCGAAATTTTCACCAAGTATAACTCACTGAGGAAGTACCTTAAATACACAAAAAAATAGACAATTGAATTGTGCACTTGCATTAAGTCCGCACAAAAGTATTGCACGCACACATATTGTCTACCTTCCAAAATGGAACATGCACCTGATTCCACAGGAACTTTTGACACATCGAAATTGATACGCTCGCCAAGTGCACAATCATATTCTCCATATTATAGAATAAGTAATCATATCTATACATGGCGTATTTCAAATTCCTCAATGTGTAGTTTCAACAACTCACCAAAAACGTGTGGAATTTCATAAACTAGATTAGTCGGCGCGCTTTGCGCGCGTATTTCCTACTGCATGGGTCTTAATGTATGTCAGTTGTAGTGAATAGTGTTATATTAGATTTCTGAAGTTAATATCAAGTTTTCCGAAAGAAAAGTTTCAGGAATGTATTGTATTTTTTAAAATATATAATACATCCATTGTAACGTTTTTTATGCCAATTTATTCGGCGTGTTGTGTTATTAATTTTTTTTATAAATGATGATAAGAGGACGTCTTTGGGCTCGTCGTCAGCGTGCTGGCCCTATAAACCAAAGCGTCCCAGTAGCGCAGGTTCGAGTCCCGGTGATGAAAGATGTTTTCATCGCCGGAAAACAGTGTTACCAGATCGTGACGTCACCCCATTTAAAATTGTACAGGTTTTGGCTATAAACCGCCAAAATCTGGCAGCCCTGCCGGAAAACGAACCCAGTGCATGTGGAGTTAGTTATGTGGAGTTAGATATAAGTTAGCTTAGAGGCAAGTGCGGGTAAGGAATTAGGCTGGGGTACCGCGTAGGTACTGGGACGGGTAGGTAAAAGACCACAACGGTCATACCATCTGGCACCACCCAATTTTTTTTATTATAAATGATGATAGCATACATTAAAGATATTACGATAATACTGTATTATATTCTATACTATACTATATTATATACACTATGTATAATGTACAATATATAATAGAGTACTATATGTATTATGAAATAGTATAGTATAGAATATAATATAACGAAATCGGCCGCGCGTGCTACGTACGCGCCTTCTCGCCTCCTCACGTAGTGGCGCTTCGGTTTCAGTCTTACGCTTACGCTTATTCGAGATTTTCGAGATATTTCGAGATCGATTTCCTTTCTCCTTTTTACAACAGGATACAGTATTACTGTAATATCTGTATGGATGCTATCATCATCATTTATAAAAAATCTAATGACACAATACGCCGAACAGATTGGCTTCCAAAAATGTTATACTGGATTTTTTATTAAAGGAACAATCGAATTCCCTATGTTTTGGATGTGCAGTTTTATAAAAAAATAAAGTATCGATGTGTTGTTTAATCTACACATTATGGAATTTGAAATGCGCAATATGTAGATATGATTACTTATTCTATAATGTGGAGAATATGATTGTGCACTTGATGGGCGTGTCGATTTTAAAGGGTTGACCATAGTGTTTGTGCAAAACTTTTCTGCGGACTTAATGCAAGTGCACAATTCAATTGTGTAAATTTTTTTGTGTATTTAAGGAGTGTAGCTATCAAACATATGTACTTAAACAGTGTGATAGGCCAATCTTTCATCGAAGCGGTGCTCTGCCCTCTTGTGGTGAAAATTTGTGCGCTCACGTGGATGTGGACATTTAGGCTCTAACCCAACATTTTTCTGGCCACGGTGAATACTGCCCAACGAAGCAAGTGGAAACAAAATAATTAGCGAAGCGGTAAAACCATGAAGAATAGAGGGGAGGAGGTCGGGGAACTGTGTACAGAGGATATGGGGCCTAAATCGAAAATTTCAAATAAATCGTAGAGGTCGCAGCAGCTGCGAGCGATCAGACACAGACGCGGTGCACTGATAGAATGATTCATTTATTCCAAACGAGATTCGTTAACTATTAACTAATGGTAGAGTTGAATATGACCAAATAAATATTCGTTAATATTTAATGAATGGTTCACTTGAAAGTTGAAAGTCAAGTAAAACGAGACTTCTCAAATGTGCATTCGTTAACTATTACCGAATGAACATTTGGTAAGACCAAATAGACCCTAGCCTTCAACCAAATCCATTTGTTAACAATAACTAATTCTGTCTATCAGTGTGGAGAGAGAACTTTAGAATGGGATTAGTGATTTGCTTGGATCAAGTGGAAATAAGAATAGATGTAGTTTATTATTTTTAATCGAATATTTGACGTGAGTTTCTCGCATTCGTGAACGAAGAATACCGCCATTATTATCAAATTTTTTCATTTCATTGAAGAATGATAGAAAACGGGATACAACAAGAGCATAACAAGAGTATCGATGGATAACTTGGATTTTAAGGCAGAATAAGGGCCAGTTTTTTGGTTAAACTAACCATTGCTCACTCGTGGTTAAAGTTAAATCCAGCCCCCCCCCCCGCGTTTCCCACGTGAGGGGAATTATTTCCCCTACTGTCATGAGTGTGGAGGAAAATGGCGAACATGTACAATATTTTTGAATTTTAACCAGTCGCTCTCGTAAACATGGGCGCCGCCATTTTCAACCACAGCTGGAATTACAGTGCTGGGGGGCTGGATTTAACTCTAACCACGAGCTAACCATGGTTAATTTAACCAAAAAACTGGCCCTAAACAAACACACTAAGGGCCAGTTTTTGATTAACTTAACCAGCGTTAAAGCCTCGGTTAAAGTGAAGGTTAAGATCTCTGATTGGTTGAGGTCGGGGCCCGGGGGAGGGGGGGGGGCTTTTAACCGTGGTTAAGTTAACCAAAAAACTGGCCCTAACGCATGGGAATCTTGTGTCCGTGAGTGAGATCCGATCAATTAGCCCCTCATGTATAGATATTCCAAATTTTTATTTTTTTCCTCATTGAAGTAGTTTTGAAGAAAATTGCGAGTTAATAAAAAACATTTGCTAGTTAGTACTTTTTTTTTAAATAAATTTTTGAAAAATCACCCCTCAAAAAAAGGCATTATCCCCCCTATTTCATTATTTCCAAAAATTTTATCACCAATCGGTAGCAAATTGTTTGAAGATTTTTGCGAGTTAAGAAAAAATCGTCAATGCACTCCTATTATTGTGTAAATTAACAATTCCAATTTCAACTGAAAACCAGAGTTGATGACCAGAATTTGTAGCAGAGATGTCAGACAAGATATGAATGTTTTTTTTGGCTCAAATGAAAGAGCGGGTCGAGAAATGGCGTGCAGAAGTCTTTAAAGATGACAAATCTCTCTAAAGATGATGTCTGTTTTCAATTGAAAAGCGCAATTGTGACAACATTGTCCAGTGGGTTCTAGGAGTCTCCCCTGGTTCAACACCATCTTTAGAGGTCCTAGCACGCCATTTCTCGACCCGCTCTTTCATTTGAGCCCAAAAAAACATTCATATCTTGTCTGACATCGCTGCTACAAACTCGGGTCTACAACTCGGGCCTTCAATTGAAAGCCCGAGTTGAAGACCCGAGTTTGTAGCAAAGATGTCAGACAAGATATGAATGTTTTTTTTGGCTCAAATGAAAGAGCGGCTCGAAAAATGGCGTGCAGAAGTCTTTAAAGATGACAAATGTCTCTAAAGATGATGTCTGTTTTCAATTGAAAAGCGCAATTGTGACAACATTGTCCAGTGGGGTCTAGGAGTCTCCCCTGGTTCAAAACCATCTTTAGAGGCCCTAGCACGCCATTTCTCGACCCGCTCTTTCATTTGAGCCCAAAAAAACATTCATATCTTGTCTGACATCTTTGCTACAAACTCGGGCCTTCAACTCGGGCTTTTAATTGAAGGCCCGAGTTGTAGACCCGAGTTTGTAGCAGCGATGTCAGACAAGATATGAATGTTTTTTTGGGCTCAAATGAAAGAGCGGGTCGAGAAATAGCGTGCTAGGGCCTCTCAAGATGGTTTTGAACCAGGGGAGACTCCTAGACCCCACTGGACAATGTT